AAAGAGGAATGATGGAAGAGAGAAGGAAAAGTAGCCAAATAGAATCATTCCACACCCTGGGTACAGTAAAGGCAGGAAATAAAACCAAACTCTTAAAGCAAGATCTGGATATTACCTTCTTCTCAGATCACATCCCTATTAACCAGGTGTAACCTGTAGACCAATGATATCATGAGGAACAAGGGTTAAAAATTCCATGATGGCTGAGCATCCAGGAAGATAGAGCAGATGCGTGTTTCCCTACTCTTCCCCTCAAGTACAACCAAAATTTCTGGAAATTATGTATAAGACAAGCATAAGACCCTGAAAAGTAAAGAGAAGAAGGTAGATGGGCAAGGGACTGTTGGACCCAGGGAATGGTACAGTGGTGAGTTCCCTGAGTTTCCTTTTGCCTCATGTATCCTAGACATAGAGCTAAAGAATCCAGCCACCTAGAAACACAAACACAGACAAAAACAATCCAGTGAAGCCTGCTCTCTCTAGCCAAAGGGCCAAGAAAGGAGCAGCCTGCCAAGACAGAAAACTTTTAGGCAATAACTGCTCTAGTCTAAACAAAAGCCACAGGAAAAAAAAACCCCAACTGTGGACCCATCCCCACTCATACCAGCAAAAGTCAAGTGGGGAGTCAAGAGGTCATTTCCTGACTGTAACAGAGTGCCCCAACATTTACCCTCATCCCATCTGCAACCAGGGTGGTAGGAGAAAATGCCAAATAGGGAAAAGAGGCAATCATCCCTGACGAGTAGTAACAAATCCTTCCACCTCACTTCCATCTGTGATATATGGGGGAATCACATGAAGAGCTGGGACTTCCATCCCCACCTGTTAGTACTGAGGCACCACTCCCCTTTCCCTCTGGGATAGTATCACAGTAGATCTGGTGGTAAGTCAGTACTTGAAGAAATAAGGCCTGAAAAATTCTCAAATTTGACAAAAGGTGCAAATTATAGATTCAAGAAAATGAGTGTACCTCAAATAGATAGTCCAACAGAAACTCACCCCAAAATATACCATAGTCAGACTTCCTAAAACTAAACTCAAAGAAAAAAACGTAAAAGGAATGGGAAAGAAATGACACCTACCTTATTTTTAGGGGGAAATTTTTTAATGACAGCAGATTTCTCATCAGAAACCATGGAGCCCGGAAGAAAGTGGCATAACATTTTTCAAATATTCAAAGAAAAAAGCTGTCAACCAAAACTCTATCTAGCAAAAAATATATTTTAGGAATGAAGGGAAAATCAAATCTTTCTCAGATAAAGTAACATTAAATAAGAATTTTTCACCAGTGGACCTATCCCAAAAGAAGGACTAAAGGAGGTTCTTTAAACAGAATAACAAAAAGAAGGATTTCTGGAACTGCAGAAAGGAAGAAAGCATAAAAATATGGGTAAATATAATACAGTTTACTTCTCCTCTCAAGTTTCCTAAATTATGCTTTGTGGTTGAAGAATTATAATAATTTCTGATGTGATTCAACATTTTTGGAGAGGAAATATTTAAGACAATTGTATTACACACAGATATGGTAAAGGGAATTGAGGGAGGTAAGGTTTCATCATTTCACTCAACCTGGTAAAATATCAACATCAGCAAACTGGGATAAGTCATGTATATATAATATAATAACTAGAGCAACCACTAAAAGAGATAAACAAAGAGATTCCATCAAAAACATTATAAATAAATCAAAATGTAGTTCTAAAAATGCTTAAGTAACCCACAGGGAAAAAAGATAAAGAAAACAGAGATGTGAAAACCAGAGAGAACAAACTGAAAAAAATAAATAAATAAAAATTAAAAAGCAGGTTTAACCTCAAACATCAATAATTACATTAAATAAAAATCACCTAAGCATACCAGTTAAAAGGAAGAAATTATCAGAGTGGATTTAAAAACGTGATCAACTATATGCTACCTACTTCAAATATGATATAGGAAGGTTGAAAGTAAATAGATTTTTAAAATTATATTATATAAACATTAATCTAAAGGGAGTATAAATGGCTATATTAATATAAGATAAAGTAGAATTCAGAACAAAGAAAATTACCTGAGACAGAGAAAGACATTACATAATGATGAATCGTTAATCAACCCAGAAATCCTAGCATTCTAAATGTATATGCACCAAAAAGAGCTGCAAAACATATAAAGTAAAAACTGATAGAACTGAAAGACAAAACAGACAAATCCACAATTTTAGATGGACATTTAACATCTCTCTCTCTCAACTATTGATAAGACAACGAAACAAAACAATCAGCAAGGATATAAAACTCAACAAGACCATCAACCAACAGGATCTAGTCAAAACTTATAGAACACTGCATATGACAACAGCAGAATACACACCCATTTCAAGCACCTACAGAGCATATACCGAGATAAACCATATCCTGGGCCAAAAAACAAACGTCAGAAAATTTAAAACAATGGAAATCATACAGAGTGTATTCTCTGATGACAATGAAATAAAATTAGAAACCAATAACAGAAAGATGACATAAAAAAGCCCAAGCACTTAGAAACTATAAATAACACACTTCTAAATAATCAATGGGTCAGAGAGGACATGTCAAGACCAAAAAATATTTTAAATTGAATTAAATGAAAATACAACATATCAAAATTTAGGGACATTGCTAAAGCAGTGCTGAGAAGGAAATTTAAAGCATTTAAGTAATTACACTATAAAAGAGAAAGCATCTCAAATCAATAATCTAAGAGTCCATCTAAAGAATCTAGAAGAGTGAAAGCAAAATAAACCCAAAACAAGCAAAGTGAAGAAAATGAAAGAGCAGAAATCAATGAAATAAAAAACAGAAGAAAAATAAAGAAGTTCTATGAAACCAAGAGCCAGTTCTTTGAAAACAATGCAAACATCTAGCAAGCCTGAAAGAAAAATAAAAAAAGAGAAGACAAAAATTACCAATATCTTGGAGGAAACAGGAGCTATCACTATAGACCCTGCAGACATCAAAAGAATAAGGGAATGCTATAAACCACTCTACACACATGAATTCTACAAGTTCTATGAAATGGACCAATCACCTGAAAAGCAGAAGCTTTCCCTCTCAGATGGCGAATACGGCAACAATATTCATTCTCATCACATTTAACACAGTACTAGAAGTTTTAGCCAGTGAAATAAGGCCACAAAAGGAAATAAAAACCACAGAAATCAAAAGGAAAGAAATAAAACTATCGCTATTTGCAAATAATGACTTTCTACATAGAAAATCTCCAAAAATCTAGAGAAAAACTCCTATAAATAATTAATAATTTCAAATAATAGGGTCAGCAGATACAAGGTAAACATACAAAAATATAATTATATCTGTATATACTAGCAATGAAAATGTGAACACCAAAATTAAAAATACAAATAAAATTTCCCCAAATAAAATTAAATACTAAATGTAAGTAGAACAAAACCTATATAGAATTTGCACCCTAAAAATTACAGAATGTTGATAGAGAACTCAAAGAATATCTAAACAAATGGAGGGATTTGCCATGTTCATGGATTAGAAGAATCAACAGATTAAAAATGTCAATTATTCCTAAGTTGATATTTGATAATTGAAAATCGATTTAATGCAATTCCTATCAAAATTCCAATAAGACTTTCTGTAGAATAAAAATTATTCTAATATTTATATTAGATTATTATATAAATTAAATATAGAATATTATATAAGTATT